CTAACCGGATTCCTTCGTCTTCCGCTGCAGTTTTTGTGCATTGTACAACAGCACAATGTGATGACATGCGCGAATTAATGAATAGCCGAAAAACACCATTCGTATGCCAAAATAATTGTGAAAAACTATTTAATTTGTGAACAAATAAGAAAAGTGAGGTTGTGTTTCAATGTTGTGCCTCCAGGGTCGGTCATCTGACAGTTTTTGCAGGCAAGCCATGATGATGATGTTGTTTCAGCAGTCACTTAATTTATTGATTTTCAAAAACTGAATGAATGGAAACAAATTATTGATCTTTTCAGTATTTTGTCTAAATCACACTTTTATCATTTTTGCAGCACAGTACAGGTTATTTCATAGAGTAAATGAATGCTATTCTATTCAGTGCATGTCAACTGATTCAGTTCAGTTCAAGTGAAATGTCTCAGTTAGTTCAGAATGAATGATTTTTTTCATTTCATTTGTTACATCAGAACCTGATCAAAATGAATTTACAAATTCATGTTTCCAATTCTGTACCTTGCTTTTATTTTTTCATCATTAGTTGGTATTACTGATTACTAGTGAAGATACCCAAATGCCAAAAATAAATGATTTAGATGAATTTTAACTAAATATTATCAGCTAGTTGGTATTCACTAACAATAAATAAATAATATCAAATGTTGAAAATGCAATGATATCTTTTCTCAACCTTCAGTAACTGAAGCTTCAAATCTATGTGGATGATGAAGTCAAAAAAGGTGCCACATTTCTGAAGATTTTCAAAATATTTCCAAAATCTCACAGAAACCTTAAAATCTGCTTAGTATTCTGTGCATGTTAAAACATTTTTACAACCAAATAAGAACATTATTCTGTACAAGAATCGACATTGCAACTTCAAAATAATGGCAATAAAACAAAAGTTTTAAGAAATAGGTCTTTTCATTTAGATGACAAATCTCCAACGACAGTGGCGGCCATTTTCACCGAAACACTTACACCACAGTGCCACTCAGTAACGAATAAGTAACGTTTTTTGGAATTAAATTATTATAATACAATTAATACACACCAGGAATATAAAAACAAGAATACTATGTTGTTATTGTTGTTTCTCAATGACGAATGCCCATGGTGGTTGACACTGTTGACATTTGACAGAACGTCAATAATACCCGCCATATTCGAAATGGCCAATCAGCATTTTGTGTTGGAACTATAGCCAATGAGACTTCACCTTCGCATTACCCAATAAATTGTTGGATCTAAAAACGAGCGCATGCGTCTTAAAAATATATCTAGATGAAAAGACCTATTATAGGAAATGTGGTACCTAACATAACTTCTTATCATCAGTGTTATTTGTAGTATTTTTAGTTTTTATGTGTGTTCCTGTGTGTAGTCCTATCTCACAACCACAACTGTTTATTTTGATTCTTTTTACAGAAACTCCAAGATATTTTCAGTCAAAATCAAGATTCTTATCTAAGGAATCAGTTACCTATGGTTCTGGATTATAATTTTCCTCAATAACGTCTGATTCCGGAAGGCCATTTTTGTGGCATGTAGAAGTTCTCCAGTCCAGTAATCTATGATATCAAAAGTGCTAATGAGTGGAAAAAACGACTCCATTGATGGAGGCAGATAATGTGCTATTATAAATTGAATTTTTTTGCCACTAAACAATTGTGATACTATGATAAGGAAATAAACTAAGAATGGATGCTTCCACAGTTACTTTGAAAACCTGGGACTTTCAAGCAATATCTGCTATGTGGAAATTTTGCTCTAAAGATTATACACATTTTTGCATAAAATATATACAACTAAATACACAGATATTGTATGATATTCTTCTCGAATTTTCAAGTAACTCAAGTGTTCTCAACAAATCGCCATCTATTTCCTAGTTTTTTTTTGTTCTAATGGGGTTTATGATTGGATATTGAATTACATAAAGACGACAGCATCTTCTCTATCCTGTGTTGAGCCTCGTATTTACGAAATTTGTTATTTTAGGAATGATAATACTTAATGATTGCTTAGCTGAAAACAAATGTTGGACTGTAGTAAAATTTGAACAGCAGGAGTCTGGGATTTAGTATAATTGGTCCAACCATTACCATGTTTAGTCCGACCGAACCCAAACCAAAAATCATATATTACTATAAGTGATAGTAATATCTTTAAAAGTGTCATTTTAGTTGTACGTTTATTTATTTTAATAATGTATCTTGTAAGACACAATCTGTGGGCAAATTGACAACGAAATTGATGAAAATATTTTGATTGGTCTACACTTTGTGTTGGTTTCTCTGTAGATAAGTGCTAAACATGGACCAATAATTGTGGATAAAAGTGCTCAAACAAGTTTTCTCTCTATGCTGTAATAATATATATTTTGCTATGAAACCAAGAAATGCCTTTTTTATATACAAGAGATGTCATATATATTTTCAATTTGTGAAATATTCCCTCCACAAACCCATTTTTTAAATAAATCTAGTATATATTTTTGAGATAGGAGTGCTTCTCAAATAAAAGCAGTTTTGTGTTATTACTGATAGGAGTTTAATAAATTTTGTATACAGGGTGATTCAGAAGGTACAATCCTTAACAATTATCGTTTTTTTTTGTTCAACCGTACTGTTTGCAATACTGTACTCTTTGAATCACACTGTAAGTTTATGAATAAAATATATATGAATTAATATATTGATACTTTATACTTGAGTATACACATAGCAATATTTAAGATTACATTTTTTGTAATCAGTCAAGTTTTATAAAGAGTAGTTTTCCTCAAATTTTTGTATTTATTTTATGTAATGCTAATATATAAGAATAAATTGATTTACTATTTTCTACAATCTAATTATTGGTTTAATTTCCTACCGCCTACCAATAATACATAATACTGATTGAAAAGAAAATCCAGTGAGAAAATAACTTGTTATTAGAATTACATGAAGATGGGTAGTGTTCACTTTATTCTCAATGACAGCTCAGAAGTCATCATGAACATTTCAAAAAAAAACTTATTCGGTGATTTGAATTTACCGCCATTAGATGAACTGCATTGATTGGTTCGTACGTGCCTACGGTAGAAATTAATTCTTGTCATTACTGCACTCCTTCGTCCTTTCAGTCCTATGCAATTATGCTTCTTGGCTATTGAGTACTTTGATCTAGTACAACCGAGCGGTAGTGAGAGAGAAATACAAAAGCCATAAGCCATTAGAACTGGAGATTTGCAGAGAAGAAGACTGAATTTGACTTACGTGAAGTGGGCTGCCAGAGCTGGCTACCAGAATTTCCGAACTTTCCCGATCGACCAGTGGCACACGTTTCCCCCCTTTTTGGGTAGGGAATATCGAAATTCCTCAACTGCTTTTGTTTGCGATGATGCGATGTATAATGCACTGCACAGCTGCTTTTGGGTCTCGAATCATTCTCTATTGAGTCTATAAAATAATCATTCCTTACCAAATCATAGGCATCGAAGACTGAAATTTAAAAAATATTTTATTTTCGATATACTTTTGCAAAAAACTGCTCAGCTGCTTTTGGGTCAGGTAGATAGGTAATCATGTGTAGAATCATGCTATCAGAAAATAATTCCTTGTCAAATCGTTTGGTAGACTCCACACGAAAAAAACAGATTTTTCGAAAATATTTGTTTTCGATACTTTTGTAAAAAACTGCTCAACTGCTTTTGGGTCAGGAAGATAGGTAATCATGTGTAGAATCATGCTATCAGAAAATAATTCCTTGCGAAATCGTATGGTAGACTCCACACGAAAAAAAACAAATTTTTCGAAGATATTTTTTTTTTCGATACTTTTGCAAAAAACTGCTCAACTGCTTTTGGGTCAGGAAGATAGGTAATCATGTATTGAATCATGCCATCAGAAAATAATTCCTTGCGAAATCGTATGGTAGACTCCACACGAAAAAAACAGATTTTTCGAAAATATTTGTTTTTCGATACTTTTGCAAAAAACTGCTCAACTGCTTTTGGGTCAGAAATATAGGTAATCATGTGTAGAATCATGCTATCAGAAAATAATTCCTTGCCAAATCGTTTGGTAGACTCCACACGAAAAGAACAGATTTTTCGAAAATATTTGTTTTCGATACTTTTGTAAAAAACTGCTCAACTGCTTTTGGGTCAGGAAGATAGGTAATCATGTGTAGAATAATGCTATCAGAAAATAATTCCTTGCGAAATCGTATGGTAGACTCCACACGAAAAAAACAAATTTTTCGAAAATATTTTTTTTTTAGATACTTTTGCAAAAAACTGCTCAACTGCTTTTGGGTCAGGAAGATAGGTAGTCATGTATTGAATCATGCTATCAGAAAATAATTCCTTGCGGAATCGTATGGTAGACTCCACACGAGAAAAAAAAAAACAAATTTTTCGAAAATATTTTTTTCCTATCAGTTTTTTGCAAAAGTATCGAAAAAAAATATTTTCGAAAAATCTGTTTTTTTTTTCGTGTGGAGTCTACTAAACGATTTGGCAAGGAATTATTTCCTGATAGCATGATTCTACACATGATTACCTATCTTCCTGACCCAAAAAGCAGCTGAGCAGTTTTTTGACAAAGTATCGAAAATAAAATATTTTGTTAATTTTAGTCTTCCATGCCCATGATTTGGTAGAGAATGATTCGAGAACCAAAAGCAGCTGTGCAGTGCATTATACATCGCATCATCGCAAACAAAAGCAGTTGAGGAATTTCGATATTCCCTACCCAAAAAGGGAGGAAACGTGTGCCACTGATCGATCGGGAAAGTTCGGAAATTCTGGCAGCCAGCTCTGGCAGCCTATTTCACGTAGGTCTGAATTTGACAGTTTTGACTTTGACACGTTTACCAAAATTTTTGCGGTCATTTTTGTTTGGCTTTTGGGTCGCTAAAAACACTGATTAAAAATGTTTTGAAAACTACATCACAGCCCCAGCTCCGTATCATCAATTCATTTTCACGTTCTTTGACTTCATTCCAAAATGGGAGTTCCAGCATTCTTCCGTTGGTTGAGCAGGAAATATCCATCTGTTATCGTTCCCTGTACAGAACAGAAGGTAAGGTTAATAAGTTTATGAGGACTTTCTTTTGATAAGTTTTTGCGCTTTCCAGCCCGTAGATATCAATGGGGTGAGGATACCAGTAAACGCGTCCGAGCCAAATCCTAATGGAGTCGAATTTGACAACCTATACCTTGATATGAACGGTATAATTCACCCGTGCACCCACCCCGAGAATAAACCAGCCCCCAAAAATGAGGACGAGATGATGATCGCCATTTTCGAATGCATCGACAGACTGATTGGGATCGTCAGGCCTCGCAAACTCTTGTACATGGCCATTGATGGTGTAGCTCCCAGAGCAAAAATGAATCAACAACGTTCCAGACGTTTCAGGGCGTCCAAAGAGACTTGGGAAAAGATCAATGAGATGAAGAAAATACGTGCCGATCTTTTGCTGAAAGGGATTGTCCTGCCACCTGAGAAACCCAAGGAGGAACACTTTGACTCCAATTGTATTACTCCTGGTACACCTTTCATGGCTAGACTGTCTGAGTGCTTGCATTATTATATTCATGAAAGGCTGAATAATGACCCAGGATGGCAAGGAATCAAGGTTATTTTATCTGATGCCAATGTTCCTGGTGAGGGAGAACACAAAATCATGGATTATATTAGGAAGCAGAGGGCACAGCCTGATCATGATCCTAATACACAACATTGCTTGTGTGGAGCTGATGCTGACTTGATCATGTTGGGTTTGGCAACTCATGAACCCAATTTCACTATTATCAGAGAGGAATTCAAGCCTAACCAGCCCAGACCTTGTGAAATTTGTGGACAAGTAGGTCAGTACACAAACAACTAAAATTCACTTTAGGGCTTGATGAATCAATCAAATTGTTGGTCAATATGCACATTGAACACTTTTTTTCAGGACATGAGATGAAAGACTGCAGTGGGAACTGCATAATTCCTTCAGACAACCCTCCTGATGTTCATTTGAGCTCTGAGGTTGAGTTTATTTTTGTGAGGCTCAGTGTACTGAAGGAGTACCTTGAAAAAGAACTGCAAATGCCTAATTTACCTTTCAAATATGAATTCGAGAGGGTGTTGGATGATTGGGTTTTCATGTGCTTTTTTGTTGGTAATGACTTTTTGCCCCATCTGCCAAGTTTGGAGATACGAGAGGGAGCAATTGACAGATTAATTGGGCTCTACAAGGATTGTGTGTACAAAACTGGTGTAAGTACAAGTTTAAATTTATACAATAGATCAACTGAAAAGGCAAATACATTGAAATGTACATCATTTCTACAATCAAAGATGACTCTTTGGTAGCTATTTGAAATAAAAAATCATCAGAACAGACCAGCAGGTAGTGGCAGATTTTTAGATGTGATTTCTTCAGATATGCCGTTTGGAGAGTATAATTATGTATATTTATGATTGCTTCCACTAAATGGGTGGGATAAGGCTCAGGATTAGGTGAAAATTAGGTAGGTAGGCATGATTGAAATGGAGAAAAACCATCATTATTTTTTCTGTAAGCTTTCACCATTAATTAATGGCAAAAAAAAGTAGATTGTACAATATGTTAAACTGAATCACCATTCATTACTTGAATAAAATTGAATGAACTGTAAGTTGGTAAAAAATATAATATATTTTGATGTTAAAAAATGATATATGAAAGAATGCTCTCAGGTTCTTTATGCATTTAGGCATGTTCTCAAGGTTTAGGTGTACTTGGACAAACATGTATACTTCTTAAATAAAGCAGCCTGCTTGAAAACCAGAAAATATTATTTTTTTTAATGCAACTACACCTGACTTGAATATCTTTTGGGCTTATGCAACTGGTATGCCTATATTTATTCAAAATAAAATCTTGACAATAACCTGCATATATATTTTAGAATTGATAATATCTTTAAAAAATACAAGAAATAAAGAGGATCTCACACCAGACTTAACTAGGCTTAGTTATATTCAGATAAATGCCCCATGTCATTAAAAAAAAGTATGAAATGCCCTACCTGGAAACATCAGAACTTTGCCCATTAAAAACCTTACAATCAAACTAAAATCTCATAGATAAAGCCTACTACAATAATCAAGACTTCCTCCTGGATCAGCATCATATTTCCTGAACATGAATGAATCTTGTACACTCATCTAATTGTGAAGTATTTTAATTTCTTTTCATTTTCTTTGCTTTTCATTTTGAGCCATGTTGTATTGTAGGTTTGTCACCTTGTAATTTTGTATTGTGAACTATTTTAATCTCTTTTTATTTTATTAGCCATGTTGTATTGTAGGTTTGTTGTTTGTGGCATAGATTGTCTATTATTATTATTATGTATATTTTGTATGAATCTTTTGTGTTCTATATTTTTGAGAAGCTCAACACCCAGTACAGGGTATTTTAATGAGTAAATGAAAGCTATTCTATGTATTTTCAACTATGCATGTCACTTATATTCAGTGCCGGTTTTAGCACTACCAGCGCTCTGGGCAAGAATTCTACGGCGCCCCCTAATAACTAATATATTTCACTTTTCTAGCCTTTGTATTGGCAAACTCTTTCATTAGATCAACGAAGTCAATATTTTCAGCAATTTTATTTTCAATTGACAAAGTTGTCAAGTTTGTCAATCTAGATTGAGATATTGTCGATCGCAGATAGGTTTTTATCACATTAGGCTCAGGAAAACTGAAAACTAGCAACCATTACAGGTATATAAAGTCAATAATATTCGCAATGCTAATCATACATTTTGATAAAGTTCTTTTTAGTTGCGATCTTTCATAAAATTCAAAACATACGCAGGGGTAACCAAATTCTGATTAGGTGAGTTTATCACACCACATATACCTTGTCAAAGGTCGAGTTGTTTCGAAATTTGTTTTATATTGTACAAAAGTACCAAGATTTGTAGTACTCATTCAACTTCAAATATTTCATTAACTGAAATTAATGATGAAATTGATATCGTGTAATTACTGATGCGCTTTTGTTTCAGAAATTTGACTCGGCCTCTAACGAACAGAGAGAGCATTGCGGTTCCGTCGATCTTCTAATAGATGGCGACATTGCACAATTGTGACATCTGTCAGTTTTGAAATTGTTGCAGATTTTTCGAATTCAGAGTTGAATAATACCATTTGCTATTTTATTTTCACTTGTCACAGCAGCAATAGCACCATCACCATCTAGCAGGAAAATGTAGAATCAACGTTTCGCTCGTTGTGACGTAGAGAAATCATAGTAGGCGGTCGAGTGATTTTTCTGGAATTTTCAATACGTAATAATGGCCGAATACGCGCACCATATCTTACTTTCATCATTCTGAAATGAATGAAAAATTGAACCTGATTTTTTTCTGTAGAAGCTATTGGCACGTGGCGGGCAGTTTCACCAGCTTGACGCTCAACATATTGAATTATCCATGTGGCACTAAGATTACGTCCAAGTTCTTCAGCCAATTCCTCTGGAGTTAAAATAGCGATTTCAGAGTTAGTATTTCTATATTCTTACGAGAAAGTGCAGCATTCTTTCAACATTTCTGTGCATTTACTGAGATCTATATCTGTTGATTGTGAGATGCGCTAATGACGTTGATTTGAAAAATTTGAGGAATTTATAGGGGTTTCTGCGGCGCCCCTTTTCATCCGGCGCCCTGGGCGGTCGCCCAACCGCGCCCTACCCTAACGCCGCTACTGCTTATATTTCATTTTAGAACACAGGCAGCATGACTGAAATCATATTGAAATGCTCAATTTGTGAACAAATAATGTTAATTAACTGGTAGAATGGTGTTTTATATATCATTTTCAACATTAAAATATATACATAATGATACCCTCCACAAGGCATACTGGTTGAAATCATGTCCAAAAATCTATCACTACCTGCTGGTGTATAAAGAATACAAATGTATAAGAATAGAGACAATTCTCAAAATTGAAACCATGAGGCACCACAAATATATTACTGAATTTTCACTTATTTCTGAAACAACATGTATGGACCATTTTCTGGACTCTATGCTGTTTTTTAGGGTTACTTGACAGATAGTGGAGAAGTCAACTTAGAAAGAGTTCAAATGATCATGTTGCAACTGGGGAAAATGGAGGATGAAATCTTCAAAACCAGACAGCACAAGGAGTTGCAGTTTAAAGCTAGAGAGAAGGCAAAGAAAAGGAGATCAGAGGGATTCAATACTGCCAGGCCTAACTGGGATCTAGTCAGAAATACTCAGTTTGAACCAAGGGTGGGTAACATATATATATATATATATATAATTCCTTTATTTAGCCAATGACTAATACAAAAGTTTACAAGTAAAGAGAAAAAATATCTTCATGACTAAAACATAAATGAACACAAATACTGAATAAAATACATACCATTCAACATACAAATACATACAAGTAAAATTGAAAAAAAAAAAATACTTTTTACATCACTCAGGTTCCTATACCCAACAAATATTATTGAAAAAATAAAATACTTTTTACATCACTCAGGTTCCTATACCCAACAAATATTGTTTTGATTTTCTCTTGAATATATTCAGTGACAATGAGATTTTTATAAAGTCTGGTAATTTATTGAACTGCTGCAGTCAGTCCTTTGAAAAACATTGAATTTTGAGCATTTGTCCTGCTTACTAGCATTATATAAAATTTAGTACTACTTCTTGTGCTATGATTATGGATGTTATAGTTGCAAGTTATCTTATTCTGCAGGTAATTAGGGGTAAATCATAGCTTGATAGTAGACAAAATCTTCAACTGATAACTATTTCAAGGTAGTCAGCATTTCAACAGTTGGGGTTACTCTCGGACATAGCCCTGTTTTGTAATTTTTGAAAATGGCCTATTTCATTCTGATTTAATGTATATAGTACTGTTGAGCAATAAGTGAAGTAGGGAAGTATCAAACTATTGAAAATTATGAGCCTTGACCATTGACTCAAATATATTGAACATCTATTGAGTTAGTTGATCTTGTAAGAAATTGTTTTTATCAGACCATTGGCATGCTGTTTGAATTTCAGTTGCCTATCTACGTTCACACCAAGATATTTGACTTCATCTACTCTGCTGATCAAGGAAGTGCCAATTTTTATATCCTAGTTGTTATCTTTGAATTTTTTTTACTGTTGGACATTTCCAATCACCATAAACCTTGTTTTTTTACGGGTGATTTTCAACAAATTGGCACAACAACAGCTGTATATTTTTTCTAAATCTCTGTTAATAACCTCAACACTATTTGAGACACTCAGTGATGAGAAATGATTGAGTGGGTCATCTTCAAATAGATGAATGGTACTTTCACTAATGATGTCAGCAATATCATTGATATAAATTAGGAAGAGTAATGGACCAAGAACACTTCCTTGTGGCACACCTTGCTCATTTACCAATTCATCAGATTATCAGATATGATACTTTTGATTTTAACCTTTTGTCTCCTATTTGATAAATAATCTGAAAACCATTCCAACACTGTTCCCAAGCACCCAATATATTTTAATTTATTCAATAGTCTTCCCCTATCTACCATTTCAAAGGCTCTTTGCAGATCTAGAAAAACACAAATAGTTATGAAGTTCTTATTGATATTACATCTCCAGTCATCAAGAATACTCTGTAAAGCACTGTAAACAACCACAACATCTCCTCTGAATGAGTTCATTCCATAGTGATGAAAATAATGGATATCGAGAAGGCCATTTCTGAATATACTGAATTGTATGGCCATGGTTTTAGTCACCGTTTTTGATTTTGTTTACTGAAATGAGATTTTGTCCTATTTTCTTATCATCCTGTGTATTCCACAATAGTGCTTTTTTCGTCTTTCATTGTCCTCCACAAAATATGAGAACAGTTCGTCCCAATAGTCAGCTCAAGTGGAGTTCTAGAGAAAAAAATCCAAGAAATGCAAGACTTTCGGAAAAAAAATCTTATTTTTGTTCCAATGGCCAATTGAGGGGAAATCACGAAAACGTCCCGATATGACTGACTTTTGATCAGAAAAAAATGTCTCGAGTTCTGGCAGCATTGGAAATGTAGACCATAGTGTAACGGTTCCAATTTACACCCTGTGTAAGTTTTGTTCTGCGGACTTTTTCAGATTGTTCTAGCCCTCTTTGAATCCGATAAAATATCACATCTGATATCGAAAACCTCATGTCAATTTTTTCAAAAAATACAGGTCTTCGATATAGAGTCAAATTATGAGTGGTTCATTTACTGTGTTGAGAACTGTAGATTATTGCACTTTAGGCCATCGGTCAACAACACACGGTGAGCAACGCTAGACAAGAAGCATACAACATTCGCAGAGCAGGCATGAACTCCCAGGTCAGCCACCAGCTGCAGACCACCAATTCGAGAACAGCGCTGGAGTCGATGTTCCGGCCGGCCTCCTCTGATGGGGGCTCCCAGGGGAACAACCAGGGGGGGTCGCAGGGGGGCCAGAAGCGAAAGATGGAGGAGGAGGAAGAGGAGGACGAGCAGGCGCACGACGAGGTGCGTCTGTGGGAGGACGGGTTCAAGGACAGGTACTACGAGTCCAAGTTCGACGTCAGGCCTGATCAACTAGAGTTCAGGTTGGTGTTTTTTGGTTTGGTTGATGAGATTTATTGGTTGATTGAAGAGCTGGTTCGGCGATTGCAATTCAAGTACAAACACTAGACCTGTAAAAGGTTGTAGAAACAAACGGGCGTCACACAATATTGGCCTCTAAAACCATCACAAGAATGTATAGTACAAATAGAAACATAAAAATAGATAAAAATAATGACTAAACAATTTATTCTAAGTTTCCCTTAAGGAAATCACTTATGGACTTGGGCTCCAGGTTTATTAGAAGTTTCCATATTTCTTTTTTAAAAACGTTTGGAGGAGAAAGATACTTGATTCTTTCTGGTAACTTGTGGAAAAGTTTTATTGAATTATATAAAGCATTTTTCAACAGTATATCACCTCAAAATAGACAAAATCTGCAAAATCACCAAAAACTGACTATCTGAAGGTTGTGTAATAATGAAGTTCAAAAACTCATGGGTATATTTACCATTTTGAGTGATACCCCTATTTGGGGCCGAGGCGACTACTCTTCTATTCATTTTTTCAGATATGCAGTGGCTCTACATTATGTCAGAGGCCTTTGTTGGGTTCTCAGGTACTACTACCAAGGCTGCGCCTCTTGGAAATGGTACTTTCCATACCATTATGCCCCTTTCGCCTCGGATTTTTGCAACATTGCAGGACTGAGTACAGAATTTGAACTCGACACTAAACCAGTAAGTATAAGACGATTTGAAATAATCGAAATTCAAAACAACTCATTATTTCTGAATGAAATAGATTGCAGTGTTATTTGTTTTCAGTTTCGGCCATTGGAGCAATTGATGGGTGTTTTTCCAGCTGCCAGCTGTAAACATGTTCCTGAACCCTGGGCAGAGCTCATGTCGGACCCGGTAAGACTTTTGGAACAATCTATGAAAAAGGAATACCAATGTATACCCCCCTAATGAAGCGGTTCAATTAGCGTTGAGACAGACAAAAATATCTTCCACGTATGTCCTTGTCTTAAGTGTTCCAACGTTAAATAATGGACATTTTAAGTTGGTAACATTGGAAATGGGAAAAATGGAGAAGAAGGTCATATTAACCTCTTCTTCTTTTCGGTTTGGATGGCCTCAGTTACCAGGACTATCAGGCCAAATACATGCAGTATTTGATTTGTCGATCTCTATATTGGGGCCCACCATGAAATGGATCTGGGAGATCTCATACACCTAGAGCTGCTGCTGCTGAAATCAAAACATTGCATTTATTTATATAATGCTCTACATGCACTATCAGCCAACTCTACTGCAGTCCAAAATACATGTTACTAAGCAAAGCAAAAGTCTAGTCTAAAAAGCTGCACTAAAAGTTCACTATTAGTTTTTCACTTTTGAAGTTTTAGGTCCGAATTACTGAGAAACTGGGAAATTAGATTGCACTTTTCAACAGATGAATTTTCAAATAGAATGATGTGAAGGTAGAGAGGGTAGTTCCCTCCTTCCTTGCTAAGATTATTCCTCGACAGTATCTGCTATAAAATATTGTACTGGTTATTTGAGCAGTTGAAAAGGATATGTTCCAGATCTTGAGTGAGGCCATATTCACATAATGGAGAGTCTTTAACTCTAATTCTGTACAGGTAGATATTAGTGAGACAATGGCCGTTTTCTTATTCAGCATAACGTTGTTATGTCACTTCTTGATAGGGAAGGAAATGATTTAAACCAGGGTGTTCTCAAAGGTGTATTTACTGAAGGAGTGTATTTTCTTTCTTTATATCTACTCCACTCGCAGTATGTATTAATTCATTTACTCCATGCTTGCCGTTTCAGAAGAATTTGAATATCCTGGTACCATGTTCGAACTCGTTGAAAGAAGGTCATATTAACCTCAATATAAAAAAGGTTAGAATAGTATTCTTTTTCATTTTTTCTCATTTCCAGTATTGCCAACATAAAATTTTCATTATTTTGTTGGCGCACTGAGAACAAGGACAGATGGGGAAGACTTTTTTTTCTCTAATAACACCACCAGTTTCTAATTGTATAAATAGTGAGAAAATTGTCTTCCATTCTTATAGTACATTCACTCATGAAACTAATAAGACGTAAAAGTTACAACAACTTGAGTTTTTTCAAAACATTTGGATTTTCCACTTTATCACTTCAGATAGACAATTGTCACTATAAACTAGTTATAATTGGTAATAATAATAATAATAATAATACTTTATTTCCACTTCGACAAATAACATTGTATGGGAATTGTCAATATGATATAAGATATATGGTGCATCTATATTGATTTCGGTGATGAGATTTTAGATAATATGGGGTTATAAAAAACAAATGTGGTATAGGAGGCTAATTCATCTTGCTCCATTCAATAAAAATATCGAAAACTTTGCCAGATTCTCCTTCTTTTTCCTCCAAATCAATCATTTTGAATACCCAATTTTGATATCAATTCCAGCAAACATTTCAGTGTAAGCTAGAGATATTGAAACTTCCTTATTTGAAATATGGATTTTTTCTTGCTGAATCAAAGTTCAGGTAATTGTCAAAAAAAATTCTAGAATCAGAAGATTATTTCAGCGCATGTACCCATATCAAATATAATAAGAACATATTATATGAGAAATTGTTTTCTTAGTATCATAGATTAAAAAAACAATTTAATCTATGTTAGTATACAAGATGGATCGAACAAATGGTTCAAAAAACAGCAATGTTGATAATCAAAGTTGCGTTTTATTTGGTCCATTCTGGTATCGGTGGTGGGAACAGAATGACGTTCGCAAATAAAAGGACAATCTTCACGGCCTAGGCTGAGAGAATGGATGATAGAGGTTAAATTTATATATTTGGACTGGGAATAATTTCAAAAGAAAATAAATCAACGCATATCTGGAGCAGTGCTTGTGGTGATTGGAGAAAGTTCTACGAGGTCCAGAGAATTCATTTCATGTGGGAATGAAGATTTGAAACCTGTCTTACTTGTAAGAATTATAAACTTATGAACCTCACGATGAAAATTTCTTCTAATCGTCTCCTACTTTCAAAAAGTTTCGTTTTTCATCAATCTAATTTAATTTTCTGAGAACTCGACAGTCAATCCACATCATTCCTTGTAGTGAGACGGAATGGAAAGTAGCAATCGGATTCGGTAAAGTTGCACATAAAACATTGAAGTGATTTCGGTGGCGGAATGGAATAAATAAAACTTATGCCTTCATAGAAAATTTTGTCACTCGGTTTTTGTTGACAATAATTTTTTCGTTGAAGGACTCGACCATCATCGACTTCTACCCCGAAGACTTCAAGATCGACCTGAACGGCAAAAAGTTCGCATGGCAGGGCGTTGCCCTGTTGCCATTCGTCGACGAAAAACGACTCTTCAAAGCCCTAGAGCCCTACTACGCGAAGCTTACCCCCGCAGAGATCAAGGTAACCTCATGTTGTGAATATCTCAAAATTGTTATTTGATTTGTATTCCACAATACTTATTTTCAAGTATGAGGACTTTGTCGATGAGAATTTCATTTCTTCTGACACTAACGTATACAGGGTCATGCAGCTAACTAATCCATTAGATGTTCATAGAGAACTAAAAAAAGACAATCTAAAATTTTGGGTACAGCCATTGGGTGATGTGATATTTCTTTTTAAAATATCTTCTTCGTTTTATTTCGTTTCATTTCATGTATTCATTCCAAATATGGTCAAATTACATGACATGTGGACAAGTCACTAAAAACTTAAAACTACTACTAAATACTAAGTACTAGGTAAAAAGAACACCAATTAATGAATACAAGATACATTATAGGTATATTCACAAATAAGATATTGAGTAAAAACACAAGGTAAATACATGAAAGAACAGTGCACCAACATTATTTTTAAAATTTGATATTAAAATATTCATCTACCGAATAAAGGGAGTACTGCAGTAGAAGAATTTTTATTTTACTTTTGAAAATATAGAAATTTGATATATTCTTCAGATCATTTGGTAGATGGTTATTTTAAAGGCATTACAATACAACTTTTTGCCGTTAAAGTAAGTCTACGAGGGCGTAGATCTTATATGGTGATTAACAATATCACCTGATACAGTGTACTTACAGATGTTTCTTTTCACAAAAGTTACACATTCAAGAATATATAATGATATGACTGTTAGAATGCCTAGTTTCTTGAATAGGTTTTTGCAGGAGTTGGTTCGATTTTTAAAAGTTATTATTCACAATACTTTTTTTTTGTACTACCAAGAGAGATTCAACTCTCTTTGAGTTTCCCCATATGGTGATTGAATAAGATAAACTAGAGTTGATATATGAATAGTAATACATGAGAAGAATATTTCGGTCTACAAATTGTCTCAATCTCCAAAATAAAAAGCAATGGGATGAGACTATTTTGGCTAAGTGATCAATATGAGTATACCACTTTAAATGTGAATCCATATGCACTCCAAGAAATTTTACAACATTTGATTGACAAACAGTAGAATTTTCAGATCTGACTAATAAACTGTAGTTAAGATTTGAGGCAGAAAACTGTAAAAGGTCAGTTTTCATCATGTTTAGTACTAGGTGATTTTTCACACTGTAGTCATTGGTGCTCTCACGTAATAAGTTGAAGCCTGGCTAAGGCTGCTTATATCAAATGGAATAGCATTTTTAGATTCTCTCTGAAGAGCTGGTTTCATCAATTCATCACACTTGGGGTCTAGCGGGACTGATGACAGAGATATAGGGTGTTCAAAATCGAGATTTTTTAACTTTATGATTTTTTGTAGTGAAACTTTTCATTATTGATCAAAACGGCCTACATGTCCATGTCTCAACTTTTGAATTACTATCTACTGACATATCATTGGTACAAATACACGATGGTTCAAGATTCAGAACTCTGATCACCCTGAATCTGTTCCAATGTACCAGTTTCAGTGAAACATTTTATTTCATTATTTTAAAGTACCAACCCCTTACTAGGGGCCGTTGAAAAATGCGGGAAGGGGATATCTTTATTGACCAATAATTTTTTTTTACATTTTTATATAGATCCTTCCTTCAAACAAAACATTACTTATATATATAGACAAGTGCAAGAATATTTCTAATTATCATTTCAATCAGAATATGGAATGAATTTTCAACTAAAAAAACAGATAATATGATGATTATCTTTGAATATTCGCATCTTGACTAGATGAAACAGCCGATGTTAACGCCAAAAAGTTGACAATTCAGTTTGTCTTGTAGCAAACCCTTTTTCACTACCAACATGGCTTGCGTGATGTTACTCTCTAGCTCACCCAGACCTCTACCCGCGCGCAGATAATGCTTTGTCCCACCACTCCTAGATGTCAGGGTCGGTCTGATTTCGATGATTCTTTTATCAAGATATCTTATCGCAGGTGTAGGTGTAGCTGAAATTGGCATTCGGAATAACAGCGTTATCGGCATCGATAGCCAGGTGTATTTTTTCCGCGAGTAATTATTGCAATTTAGTAGCCTTAGGGCAAAGTGCTGGATTTAATACCAAGTATTGAAGCCCAGACCTGCCTGGTATTAGGTGAGTGAACAAAGTTTTCATTTATTCGATTAAAATAGTGTAGCTTGGCTGTGGTCTTTTGAGGTTATGGCGGGAATGTAATTGTTGCATATTATTATTATCAGCGATCAAATGTTGGAATATTTTTCTCTATTAGTTGTAGAGCACCGCGGATTGTATCTACCTTTGTGGCCAATAAAGCTCGAGTATCGTCAACAAAGTTGCCTAATTTCCACTTGTTGACTCAAACCCCCAAAACACCCTGAGATTACTTTCCTACGAGTCACATCTGTCGCCAAACGTGGAACAAGTGGATGAAGGTGTTGGTAGTTTTGTTGACTAAATCTCAAAAGAAGGATGCCGTTAAGTAGATCTCCCATGTACAGTGATGGGGGATATCCTACAAGGAGTAGAAGTAGGTTTTCTCTAGGAGCCATCCCAAAAACGAGTGCCTCCGTTACAAACGAGGGGTACCGAACTGAAAATGGGGTAAGAGCAGATGGAAATATGGAAGCTGATAACCAAGGTAGGAAGTCTTTATGTATTGATCATGGTGTTGATGCAGAGAGGCCCCCGCCCCCACCTTATGAGGATGTAACAAGTAACAAAATAAACAAAAATGGGGAGGCCCATGATGAAATGCTTCATTATAGGAAAAATAATAGGGACGACATTAGAATTTTCAGTGATGTAGTAGTTAGCACAAGTACTTCAACTAGTACAACTAGTTTGGAACCAAATAGAGTATCAAATTCTGTACAAATTGAGTTAGAATCTAAGCAGGGTGATGATAGTGATATTTTTTCCACAAATAATGAAGAGAATTGTACTAGTAGGTCCAAACCAACAGTGTCAGGAGATTATAATAGTCATATTTTTCCTGTATCCTCTACACAGACTAACAGTAATGATAGGGCCCCAGCAGTTTCATTTTCAAGTATACAGGGTGGTCAATTGTCAGATGGAAGGCCCATGTATAATAAGGATTTTGTTCGGATGGATACCTTCCCAAGTTCAAACAATGTTTTTTCCCAGTCCATGATAAATACTAATCCAATTATACAGGGTGATCAAATAAGGTGTGGTAGGCCCATAGATCATGTGTATGGTGCTTGGCCTAGTGAGGGCCCAAATAACTCCATGAAATTTCCTCAGCCAGTATTTAATTCAAATCCGATTATACAGGGTGGTCAAACTAAAGAGGGTGATAATTTTCCATTAAATGATTTTGGTAATAAGCATTTGAGCACCGAGTCACAGACACCAACTACTAGGTCGAATATACAGGGTGGCCCAAACTTTCAAAATTTTCCCGGGCAGTTTGATCCCAAGTTTTTGCCAGACCTTAATCCAAGGGTAAGGGCTGGGACTACCCAGTCAAAGCTGAGTTTCCAACCCAATATACCGGGTGGACTAAATGAAGGGGAGCATGGGGCTATGAACGGAGGGTTTGGTCCTACCAAAACTAAGTATCAAGGCCAAGGACAACCAAAAGTACCGACAACTGTAGTAGTTGATCCAGGTTATCAACAATCTTCCAGAATGAGGTCAGGTGTAGGGAGTCGGGAAGAGCATGACTATGTTTCCACATTACCAGTGTATACAAATGCAGGGAAAAATCTGATTAACGATATAGGGTTAGGTTTAAATCAATCTAACGTTGCCACCAATTTATCATCAAATGACAGATTGTTAGGATCACAGTCCGCGAATATCACCATGAGTGAACAGCAATTCAATACTTTGATCACTCAGCTGGTATCAGCAGTGCGGCGCGATTGTTTACCTTCAGGGGAGACCACTGGGGCAACGCAAAGTCGAAACCCACAACTCACAAATTTCCGCGAATCTGGTAGAAGTCTTGGGTTGTTGGAAATGAGTAAAAGTTTACCAATTTTTGATGGGTCAAATGGGATACACCCAGTAGATTTCGTAGACCAACTGGAATACTTTATGGGTGGTTCAGAAAATTTTCCAGCGGAAGGTTTTCAGCATGCAATACTCAATCAACTTAGGGGAAAGGCGCGATTGTGGGGTCAAGCGTATGTAGATACTTTCTCGAATTTTAATGAGTTCAAAACTTCTTTTTTGGCGCAATTCTGGTCTGAAATGCAGCAGCTGCAGGTGAAATTGGAGTTGCAGTCGGCGAGGTACCGCGAAGAAAACGGTTCGTTGGTAGACCATTTTATGAAATATGTAGTGAAAGCTAAGCATCTAGTCCCGAAATATTCTGAAGCTTTGCTAATCCAAACTATTGCTCGTCACTACCATCCTGGAATCTCATCAGTGCTAGTGGGAACCCGAACTTTGGTCGAAGCAATGGAGAGGCTTCGACAGGCGGATTATTATTTTGGAAATATCTCTGGAAATTCTAATAATAACCGCTCGCCAGTACCCGGTAGGTTTCGAGAGTTTGAGCATGGGGCTGCTGGTGGGGGCGACCGGAGACCTTTTCAACATAGAAAAAATCTGCCGTTTAATTCAAAACCGGTAGCTTGTTTGGATTTAGGTAGCGAAGAAGGAGAAGGAACGGAAGCGGGAAACGAGGGCGGCCTTTCACAGCAGTAGGTCCAATTGTGGAAGCCGTAATATCGAGGGCCAATGGTGGTTTAGGAGATACGCGGGCCGAGTTACTTGGTGAATGTGAGGGGAACCACGAGTTTTTGAATTCCCGCTGTCCAGTTATCGAAATTACCATGTTCAAAATATGTTTTATGGCGCTTATTGACTCAGGAAGTCAGTTGTGTGTATATGGAGATGATGTGTGGTCCCAGTTGGAGGAGTATCACTCGCAGATTCCTTCATTCCCATGCGCTGGAATTCGGGTGGCTGGCGCATTCAAGATGAAGCAACGCCGGGTTATGCGGCAGTCGTTGATCACTTTCTATATCGGTGGAGAGGTGTTCCATCACGAATTTTTGCACGTGCCAGATTTAGCCTATCCGGTGATCATCGGAATGGATTTTCTTCGTCGATTCAAGGCCAAGATCAACCTTGAGGAGGAAAAGATTTTTTTGTGGGTAAGTAATGGCTGGTTGGTGGTCCCGGAGGTCAATGCTCAGCATGTGTTAGGGAAGCCGTCTTCCGTAGAGCTTCGGTCGATTCAACAGCGTGCCATCTCGATTTTATCATTAAGTGCAGAGCCGGCGTTTCTGACCGCCGATCTGGAGACGCTGTAAGAGGGTAGTAATTTGTCAGTCAACCAGAAAGAGTTGTTCCGAAACCTTCTTTACAAACATGCTGCTATTTTTTCGGATCGGCCAGGTATCACCACGGAGTATGTTCATTCTATCAAGCTGCGCGTGGACCAACCATTTTTTAAGAGGCAATACCCAGTCCCTATTGCTCACAAGGAGGCAATTCAAGCACAGTTGAACCAGATGCTGCAGTGGGGGGTTATCAAGCGAATGGCAACCCCCTATGTATCTCCTATTATGACCACGCTGAAAAGGGACAACTCGGTGCGAATTTGCCTTGATGCACGTTTTTTAAACACGCTAATGGAGAAAGAATATGAAACGCCTAGGCCAATGGAAGAAATTCTCCACACACTAGGCGCTATTAAATACATGTCCACGGTGGATTTCACCCAGGGGTATTACCAAATCCCGCTATCCCCGGAGAGCCAGAAGTATACTGGATTTCAGTTCGACGGAAAGACCTATGTCTTCTGTACCCTGCCTTTCGGGTTATCGACCAGCGTAAGTACGTTTACCCGTTGTTTAAGCATTATTCTTGGGCCGGAGTTTAATTCATTCGTCACTGTATATGTAGATGATATTCTTATAACATCTACCAGTTTTGAGCAACATCTCGATCATATTGATAAGGTTCTGTCGCGTTTAGGCCAGGCCGGGTTTACTCTGCGATTAAAAAAATGCTCCTTTCTTCGGCAGGAAATGCCCTTCTTGGGATATATTATCACCGCAGAATCCATCCGCCCAGACCCAAAGAGGGTGCAAGCCCTAGAGGATTATACTACCCCAAAAAATTCGAAGCAGTTGCAGCGCTTTATCGGATTAGCCAACTTTGATCGGTCGTTCGTAGCAGGCTTCTCAGCCATCGCGGCTCCCCTTACTAACCTGTTGAAAGGTTCTCAAACGTGGAGGTGGGGAGAAAAGGAGCAGCAAGCCTTCGAACGATTAAAGGGAGAATTATGTAGGAATACCTTGTTGTACCACCCGCGGGAGGGATTCCCGTTTTGCTTACAAACCGACAGTTCGGATACTGCCCTGGGGGCCCATCTCTTCCAAGAAATTGATGGGGAAAAGAAATCGGTGGCGTGGGCCAGTCGTAGGTTACTCGAGCGAGAAACTCGTTATAGTGTGAATGAGTTAGAGGCCCTGGCCGTGGTTTGGGCGTTGGACAGGTTCCGCATATTTCTACTGGGTCGACCGTTTAAGATTTTTACTGATAACAGTTCAGTGACCTACCTAAAAACATGCCGGCTTTTATCAGGGCGTATATCCCGGTATGCATTGGCGATCCAGGAATATGACTTCACCCTCGAATACATTCCCGGTTCGAAAAATGTGATAGCAGACTGTTTGTCCCGGTTTACCTCTCCGCGACCGACCTCCCCCCTCAGCAAACAATTCAGGATCCTAACATTATTCCAACTCCCTCCCGACTTTCAACTTTTACTGAAAGGGTTTGAGAAACACCAAGAAGCAGACCCTAAGTTGATGGACATCAAATTGAACTTGGCCCGAGACCCTAAACTTCTAGAGCGTTTTGCAGTGCATAAAAATCTCCTATACATTCGATCAGCACAGGACGATCACTATCGTCTGTGTGTGCCAAAAAAACTGGCGGGTAGATTCGCCCAAATTTTTCATGAGGGTTTAGGACACTTCGGCAGTTATAAGACCTTGAAGGCTCTCCAACGTGAAGTGTGGTGGACCAATATGTCTCCCGACGTTAAGCGGACCATCCGAGCATGTGACATATGCCAACGGTCAAAGAACTCCCCTCTTCCCAAAGCCCCTTTTCAGCCTATTATTCCGGCAGGCAAGGGCGACCTAGTCGCTGTGGACCTATATGGGCCTTTACCTCAAGGCAGGGGAGGTGTGTTTTTCGTCTTCGTACTCGTCGACGTGTTCACAAAATTTGTAACCTTTTATGCCCTCAAGAAGGCGACTACGCGCGCCGTCTTACACCGTCTGCAAAATGACTATTTTCCAACGCATGGAGTACCCAAACGAATCTTATCCGATCACGGCACCCAGTTCAATAACCGCCGATGGAAGGAGACTCTTGCCGAACAAGGGGCTCAGGTGATATTTTCCTCCGTGAGGCATCCACAGTCAAATCCCAGCGAGAGAACCATGCGTGAAATCGGGCGTCTCTGTCGGACTTATTGCTCTGAGCAGCACACCCGATGGGCAAACGAATTACCCAAGTTCGCCGCGTTCTTGAATAATTTAGTCCATGAAACAACAGGTTTTAGTCCTATCGAGCTGCAGTCAGATTCCGAACCACATAGACTATTACCGAGATCCCTATTGGGCCCGCGAACGGATCGCTCACCATTATCCTTGTCCGGGAAATGGATACTGGCCCGGGAAGCGTTGGAGAGTCGAGTCTCACGTCGGGCCTTCAGGCAACGAAGATCCCTACCTCCTAGTTATGAGGGGGGCGATCTAGTACTACTCGAGGCGAACCCGATTTCCTCCGCCATCCGTTCAGAGACAAAGAAATTTTTGCCTCTGTTTGAAGGTCCTTATGTCATCAAACGCGTTGTAGATAGGAATACTTATATCATCGCTGACCCGGAAAGTGGCAGGGAACGTGGGTTATTTCACGTTAGCCATCTGAAGAAATATTTTGAACCATTAGCTTTAGCTTCGGATCCTTCCTAATCGTCTCCGAAGCTCGGGGGGCGAGATGTAGCAAACCCTTTTTCACTACCAACATGGCTTTCGTGATGTTACTCTCTAGCTCACCCAGACCTCTACCCGCGCGCAGATAATGCTTTGTCCCACCACTCCTAGATGTCAGGGTCGGTCTGATTTCGATGATTCTTTTATCAAGATATCTTATCGCAGGTGTAGGTGTAGCTGAAATTGGCATTCGGAATAACAGCGTTATCGGCATCGATAGCCAGGTGTATTTTTTCCGCGAGTAATTATTGCAATTTAGTAGCCTTAGGGCAAAGTGCTGGATTTAATACCAAGTATTGAAGCCCAGACCTGCCTGGTATTAGGTGAGTGAACAAAGTTTTCATTTATTCGATTAAAATAGTGTAGCTTGGCTGTGGTCTTTTGAGGTTATGGCGGGAATGTAATTGTTGCATATTATTATTATCAGCGATCAAATGTTGGAATATTTTTCTCTATTAGTTGTAGAGCACCGCGGATTGTATCTACCTTTGTGGCCAATAAAGCTCGAGTATCGTCAACAAAGTTGCCTAATTTCCACTTGTTGACTCAAACCCCCAAAACACCCTGAGATTACTTTCCTACGAGTCACAGTCTTCTTCTTCTTTTTTTGTATTTCTGGGAACTAAGACATTACACTGTTGCCCGTGCCACAAAATAATTTGGGATTAAATGAAACATTGATCATTAATATGGATAGTAAGATATTTTTATTGGTACCGAAGCATCTTGCAAGTAATAAGTTATTATTAGGGACCAGGTCGGCCAGGTCCAACTATTGTCTTCTGTGAATTTGAATACTATTGTCATTGGTTATATTGAATCTCATAAAGTAATTAGTAGTAGTTACAAATCTGGCAGCGTCGAAATATGTGGTCCTTGGTCCTACTTTTAATGGGAAAGCCAGAATTCGGTTCATGACGTCATCGAATCCTGGCGTTTATCGAAGTCGCCAAATTTAATTATTGAAAAAAAATTTGCAATGGTTTTAAATAACGAATGATTGCATCAGATACTATTTATACAAGGAATGACCAATATCAAATAGGTATGTGGCGTAAATTCAACTAGTGTATTGATGAAACCAGCTCTTCAAGGACAATATGAAAATTCAAACGAAGTCGATGTCACTTGTTCAACCGGATCAAAAGTTTTGGGAAAATAGATCACATCACGCATTGGCTGTACCCAAAACTTCAGATTAATGCCTCTTTTTGTTTTCTATAAATATCTGATGAATTAGTTAGGTGAATGACCCTGTATTGATTTGATTTGATTTGATTTGTAGCGCAACATAAGGGGGGACGACAGGCTGTACGTGTCGACGAAGAATTCCGGCTACGATTTGGTCAGCAACCTTTACTTGCAAAAAGTGGACCCTGACGCTGAATGCGCCGTTTCCATTGACGGCATGCGGGGGACGGTTTTGGTTTCGGATATTTGCGTCAGCGTCGGCGGGTGAGTAAAAATAAAAAAAAAAACATAAAAAATCCGAAAGAAGTTATTGCAGAACCCCTAGCATACCTGATTAATTTGACATTCCATACAGGTGTTTTTATGAACAACTTAAAATTAGGTAAAGTTATACCCATATTCATAAAATGAGACCGCACCTCTATGGATAATTATAGACAGGTGACAATTTTAAATGTTATTTCCGAAATTTTTGAACGTGCGTATTATGAAAGAATTTATTATGATAATGAAAGGAGTGACATACAGACCTAATTAATTACTTTATGGATTGTTCAAAATGTTCTCCATTGTGTTTTGAGCACAAGTATACAGCTGATATTCTAGATTAGAAATAGATTATTTATCTTCGTTTTCGTATTCTTTCACCCCCATAGGCCGCCCTGTATATATTTTTTTCAATCTTCATCAACTCAAACACCCTGTATATATTTCTTTCAACTCAAACACTCCATGCTAAAACATGGGACCGCGAACCGTGGGACACTCTGTATATATTTTTTTTTCAATTTTCAATCAGCTCAAACGCCCTGTATATGAAAATTCAATCTTGTTATTGTCATTAAAGTGTTATTGTTGCGGTTTCGATAAGCTCGCGCCAGCGCTACCCCGCTTCCCCGCTAGAACACAGGCCGCGTTCCAGTTAAGATTAAAGCGTGTATTTCCCTATGCCTATAGTGGTGGTCTCCTAGTATAACTACTCAGAGACCTCTCAAAAGGTCTGTGACCAGTTTGATTGAAAAAAAAGATCATAAGAACCCAATATTTCAATTATATTCTGAAATATTCCAGTTCATTGGAATCTCCTGTGACGGACCTAGCTCCCCTGGAGGACAACGCGGTGTGTTGCGTGAGGTACAGGGACCCGAAGTACGCGAGAGGGTATATTTTCCGTGCCGTGAAACTGAAGGGGGCCAAGGACGCCGCCAGGGTTCTGAAGCCCTCCGACCTGACGCCGCAGCAGAACCGGAATTGGAGGCCGCAGATCGGCATGGCGCCAGCTACTCAGAGGTAAGTGAAAACAAGTTGAATTTTCGATTTGCTGAGCACTTTGAACAGGATTGTCCACATGCAATCTCATATGTATTTTAAATTTGGTGGTGGTTGTACATAATTGCCTCCTGGAAGCTTTTGTATGTCTGATATTTTCTTCCCAAATTTGGCGCCCAATGTGAGATAGACTTCCAAATAATCTAGATTTCTCCAGGAATTATTCAATACTAGGTATAGATATTCTCAAACATAACATTTTTCAATTTCAAAATATGGCGCTCAATATGTGAAACAATAAATTGTCAGGGAAAATGGAAAAATCGGTGGATGAAGACCCCCCGATAGTTGAAAACTGTTTCTTGAATGTATTGTAAATAACCCTGTCGTTTTTAGAGTTTCAAGCACGTAAATGGAAAAATCGGTGGATGAAGAGCCCCGACAGTTCGAAACTGAAAACTGTTGAATGTATTGTAAATAACCCTGTCGTTTTTAGAGTTTCAAGCACGTAATTTTTTGCTGTTTGGCGCCCAATGTAGGGAAACTAAGTTATTATGTATATAATTGGAATTTGAGAAATAGGTGAATGATGAACCCTTCCATAGTTTGGAAATATTTTCTTTATTCTTTAAAAATTATTGTGCCATTCTTATACTCTCAAGCACGTAATTATTTTTTGGCGCCCAACGTGGGGTGACTGTTTTTATGATTGTATATAACTGAAAATCGAGAAATCGGTGAATGATGAGCCCTTTGATAGTCCGGAACTGTTTCCTGAATGCATCATAAATAACAGTCTCGTTCTTGGAGTCCCAAGCACGGTTTTTTTTATTTGGCGCCCAACGTGGAGTAAATCAGTTAATATGTATATAACTGAAAATCGAGAAATTGGTGAATGACGAGTTTCCCGATAGTGCGGAACTGTTTCCTGAATGCATAAAAAATAACAGTATCTTTTTTGGAGCGTCGAGCACGTATTTTTTTGTGTTTGGCGCCCAATGGGGTATTTCAACTATGTACTGTGTGTCCAGTTTTCGATGCTTTTGCGTGATATCTCAGTTACCTTTGGAGATGGAATCTTGCGGTTGTTGCAGTCTTGTGATACTTTTTCATGAAACTCAGATTATGCATAACTGTTTTCGTTTATGAGATACAGGGCGATTTTGAAAATTCATACTTTCTGTACCCCCTCTATATCCACGAAGTTTCTCAACGAAAATGTCCAATTGACATCTTATAGAGAATTTCACGTAGAATCCAGTGGCGCACTCAAATTATTTTTTCAGGGTATGGTGTTGTAGATACAACTCAAACTTATTATATTTGAAATGGAACACTGTAGAATAAGCACCTGATTAAATATTTACTGAAACAATTAAATTTCGAAATTATTCAGTAACTTATTCATTGAATTGTTCAAATTGATGTTCGTATAAATTTTCAAAATCGCCCTGAATCTCATAAACGGAAACAGTTATACAAAATCTGATTAGACCATCTTGAGTTTCACAAAAAAGTGGCACAGGAACGCGAAAACCGCATAACTGAGATAACTGAGATATAGAAAAGCATCGAAAACTTGACACACTGTAATACACTACCCCTGTATATTATATACTAAGTATGTTTTGTTTTTTTCAGAGCGAATTTGGATGTTGCGGGACATAGAATGATTAACCATCACGCTCCAAAGCCTCCGTCAGTGTATGGAAACGTCCCACCACCAAGTTACATGGACCAGAGAAGTAACTATGGCAGAGGTGAGTCACATTGTTTGTATACGGATATGTTAAACATTGTCAAAAGCATTCAAATTTGGTTAGAAATCAATATTAATCACCACAATCATACAACTAGACAAGCAGATCATTTTTCTGACAAGAAAATTAAATCAGATTGTGATAAATTGGAACTATTTTGTATAGTAAAATCAAATTATAGGTCAATGACAACTACACTTTTTCAATGTCTCAATTCCAATCAATTTATTTTTCTACTGAGTGATACAACAACCAAATTTTGGCAAATATCACAAAATATTTAACATTCTCCCCATCGTGGAAACATCAGTTTTCACCATCATCAGGTTGAATATCGAGTCTACAAATTTTGGTCATCGGCCTACGATACACACCATGTGCTGTTTGCACGTCGATGATGTGATAAATTGGAACTATTTTGTAGAGTAAAATCAAATTATAGGTCAATGACAACTACACTTTTTCAATGTCTCAATTCCAATCAATTTATTTTTCTACTGAGTGATACAACAACCAAATTTTGGCAAATATCACAAAATATTCAACACAGATATTGGTAAAATATCCATCTATCACAATGGAATGATACAATAAATACAATTCACTACCAAATAACTTGAACCTGATTAGTAGGATTGAAAAATTCAAAAAGGAATTCAAGAAACATCTACTTCTGTAATATCATCTTATCTCATTTTCATATTTTTTTCGTAAAACTACTATAGTTTCCATTGGGTACCTAATAGCTGAGTCAATCAATAATCATTTTCAGTTGAACTTAAGTAACATAGATAATGAAATTGCGGATCTAAATCATATAATTTTCAGCTGCAGAAAATTTCCTAGAAATGATCTCTTTGAAGATCTTGTGAAGGTCGGGGCTCAGCTACCGACAACAGTAAACGTATTGCTTACTACAGGGGACAAAAACATTTTTGACATATTGGTCAAATTCATAACAAAAAACAATATTGAAATATAAACAAAAAATTCAAATTGTGTGTGGCTGAAGGACTAATGTCCATGGCCATTAAGGTAGGAAAAAAAAAAAAGTTGAACTTGAAAAATAGTTATTCATTACACAAGGGAAAAAAGTAGTTGATTTTAGCTCCAGGATGTATTGTCTCCCGACTCGTAGCGGAGGTAGACAAAAAACCGTGAGCTAAAATCTAATATTTTTCCCGTGTATAATACACTATTTTTTTCTGTGACAGAAGAAAGGACGAATCAATATTGAGAAGATGTTACATTATTTTGAAATCTGAAAATTATCGACGTGAAATTTTAAGTTTTTAATAGTAGGGACACCTGCGTTGTATAGGCATCTTCATCATTCTTTTGAAGTAATCAAATATCTGATGTCACTTCTGTCAGTCTAATTCTGTGATTTGATTTCGAAAAATTGCTAATTTAGTGGCTGTTTAGTAATATACGGAACCGCGAAGATCGAATGGAAAATAAAAGGACTTGCAGTTATTTCACGGAAACGGTATTATTGGCTCATTTTTCGGAACTATAGCTCAACAAAAGCTATCAACAGTGTATATATATGTGATATATATCCGGGAAAAAAGTATTTAATGAAAAGTGACATTTTATAACCTGCCAACAGAGATGAAATGCCAAACTTTTTTTCCGTCACTGAAAAAAAAATGTTTTTCTTGAGTGTCTTATTTTACTGCCTTCTTTATTTTGTCAAATATATTCATTTACTCATCATGTTCCCTGCTATATAATGGAAATTATAAAGTTGATTGATTGATTGATTGAATATCGTATCTCTCATATAGACTATTCAGTCAAATTAGGATGCACATTTCCAAGCACCTCTATTTCTATCTATGATATACCGCAACTGCTCTTCACGATATTTATAAACGATTGTATTAAACATTCTAAATGTCTAGTTTTCGCAGATGAATTCTAAATTTTCAAAACCATATCTGCTGATAATGATTTTGTGCGATTACAAAACTGCGTCAACCGTGTAGTTGACTGGTTTGAAGGAAAGTATAACTTTAGACGTCAAAAAATGCCTTATCTGTTCTTTGACCTACGACACAGATTATAGATTATGAATAATAATATTAATGAAGTAGTACTGAATAGTGTATGTGAAGACTTGGGAGTAAATCTCCATTTTGATTTAAGATTCAACACACATTACATAATCATGGTGCATACGTCTGTGTCTTGTGCCATTTTACTGTCTAAATTATCAAATTTCACAACTTTTTCATTTCCATGACTAAATTCTTTTATTCGGCTGATGATGGGCTTATGTAAGCCCGAAACATACACCTCTATGTGATCGATCTCTGATCTCAAAATAAATGTTGTGGAGATGACTAGGTTTCATCATCTATGATATTCTTCACTACCTTTTGGTGTATGAATAACTATTTTAATAAAAGCCTGTCTGTCATTCAGCCTGTTTATCCCTGTTAGTAATACTTCAGAGCGGGTTTATACAGGGAATAAGATAAGATAAGAATTAGAATAAAATTAAATAAGGAATAAGGATATTGGTGTACCGTTTATACAGATAAATAAAATAAAATAAGAAACAAGAATAAACCAATCATTGTGCATTATTTTGGCAATGACTTATGTCAATCGTCAATGTCAACTTCAGTTGGGAGTTAGAATTTGTTTTTTTGTGCAGACCGGTGAACGGCGAAGATCTTATCCACTTCATCAAACATTTTATTAACGTGTTTTGAATGCTTCAATTTGAAATACAATATACAACCATCAGCGTACAAAACAAAACAAAGAATTTGAGGTTATATGACAAGTGTCGTTTTTAAATGGGCGTGTCCGATTGAAATTGCACATGCGCACATCGATTTTGGAATAAAATTAAATAAAAAGTTAAAAGTTGGTCAACTCTTATTTTATTCCTTATTTCTTATTTTATCTTAGTTCATGTATAAACGTTTCCATTATAATACGTATGTTGAACTTTCTTATCTTATTCCTTATTTTATCTTATTCGCTGTATAAACCCACTGTCACTGTAATCAATTCTATCGCATCGCTCTGTGGTGTTTCATTATCGCTTTGTGGCGTTTCATTTTTCGCCGATTAACGTCAATCGCAGCCATCCGATACGAACACACAACACACACACACACACACACATCATTCATTCGCACAAATTTCCACAACGATATCGCAGTAATCGCGTCAAAACTATCTCGCCACCCCCATCCCCCCAGCCCCCCTCTGTCTCCCTCTGCCGCGGCACTAGAGTCTAGCCATAGCACCATAGCGAGGTAATATTGCGCGTGGCTCACTTTTTGCATTTGTTTACAAAGAAATCAAAGGATTGAGATAGTTTTTCACAATATTTTGGCATACGAATCGTGTGTTTCGCGCTTTTCATCAATTCAAGCATGCCTTCTCATTGTGCTGTTGTACAATACACAAAACATGCAGCGAGATATGAGGGAATATGATGTTTCATGTGAATAGTAATCTCACATGGTTTTCATTATGAAATTTTGTCATTTCTTATTAAAATTCCTTCTGCCACTTCTGCAATAAAAGCTAATACTGCAAATAGATTGAAAATATCTACAACACACCCAATCATATTTCGTCAGCATGTCAGACCAGTCCTCCCGTTTGATTGCATGAATCCAATCTTCTTGAATTCTTTTGGAAATTTCACGAGTATTTCTATAAGCTCCTATTGCAGAAGGAATTCCGATGAGAAATCAGAGAAATTACCAAATATCAAAAATTATAACTATATGTGAGTGACTATAGTAGGTACTTACTTTTAAATCATAATGTACCAACCGGATTCCTTCGTCTCCCGCTGCATTTTTTGTGCATTGTACAACAGCACAATGTGATGACATGTACATACGAATTAATTAATAGCCGAAAAACACGATTCGTATGCCAAAATAATTTTGAAAAACTATTCCAATCATTTGTAAACAAATAAGAAAAGTGAGTTGGTGTTTCAATGTTTCACTTCCAGGGTCGGTCATCTGACAGTTCTTGCACGCAACCCATATTAGAGTCGGGACACTATGACAAGCACTGACAATTGGACATGATTACAAATAAATTGATGGAAAAACCGGGAACTGACAGTACACGGACGTACATGATATAAATATCAAAAGTTTGACAAATTGAGAGAATTAGGAGAAAGATTCAAGTTTGTGCAGTTTCCAACTGTGAGAACATGGGAAATCAATTCACTCTATTCGAATTTCCATCGAATAACGTAATTCTACAAAAATGGAAACAGAATATGATGCGACCGGCATGGAATATAGGTTCAGGCCACAAAATTTGCGAAGTATACAAATTTCTTGGTAGGATATAGAACATTTTTCGACGCATTTTTATCAGGTACACTTCAGAACGGAAGTTTTGATATTGAAGAATAGGATCGTATTGAGAGAAAGACCCGAACCCACAATTTATAAAGTGAGCGAGTATCGAAAAGAACCTTATTCCAATTCAGGAACAACAAGAAACGAAAAACTTGCAGATTATGAAATTTATTTCGAACATAGTTTGAAAGAAAAAGTCTTGAGAATCGAATTTTTAGAGCAGGAATATTAAAAAATCCAAGGTTTACGAGTGGAAGAGAGTGAGGAATCCAGGAAACAAATAGAAGAAGAAATTAGAGAGTTGGAAAATAAGTTGAAGCAAAAAGATTTAGATACAAAAGTCAGAGTTAGCTACATTCAGAACTATTTCCTAAAAATTATTTCAGATATGAAACAAAATCTTCAGCGAAATACAATAAAATTGAACAAGCAAATTTATAGTGTCGATGAACAATACTATGAAAAACTTTTGTATTTGAAAAACCGAATGGAAGATTTGTAAGAAATTGAATAATATTAGCATTATTATTTATCCTAACTGAAATCAGCTGTTATTGTTGCATTTCATTTGTTCATTTATATATTACTTTTTGAAGCGAAATAAAAGTATGTTTCATTGGTTGAAATTTATCAGTTTTTATC